GCAGGGTCCCACTGGGCTCCCCATCCATTCCTTGGGGTCAGGGATGCGGTGACAGGGTCCTCAATCAGGGAAGCATCTCTCCCCTATGTCTGTGGTTGTGTTTCTGAACCCCATTTATGCCAGTGCCTGAAGTGGGAGGGAGAGCAGGACAGCAGCAACAGGAGAGGAGACATTGTCACCTTCGATGGGTGGCAGGGCCACCCTCAGCATTCCCATTTGTCCCTCTGCCCTTGGGAGTAGTAGGAACGAGGGAACTGCCTAATGATGAGGGGCTCTGCCCCTCCCAGTGCCCAGCAGTAATTTGGGAATGGCCATAACGGTGCTGGGGAGGGATTTGGGATGTGGGAGAGGAGCTGCACAGCATGTGTGTGATGTGCTTGTCAGTGCAGGGATCCAGGGGATCACAGGAGAATGATCCAGTGGGATCACAGCCAAGGGTGCAGTGGGATTGCAGGACAAGGGTGTAGTGGGATCTCAGGTGAGGGATCCAGTGGGATCACGGGCTGGGGATGCAGTGGGATCTCAGGTGAGGGATCCAGTGGGATCTCAGGTGAGGGATCCAGTGGGATCACAGGCCAGGGATCCTGTAGGATTGCAGGCCAGGCCTGTGCTGCTCTTGCTGGGCACCTGATGGAGCATCATCCCAATGTCCAACTTTGGGAGTGTCTCYGCAGCAGGACAGTGACAGCTGTGTCCCCAGCCCTGCCCTGCTCAGGTGTCCCTGTCCCTGCTTTCAGAGCACGGCGTTGTGCCGGTGTCCAGCGAGTGCCAGCAGCTCTTCCCCACCAAGATCGTGTCCCGCCTGGTCAAGTGGACAGCCATTCCCTACGAGGATTACGCCGTGAGTGCTGAGCACGAGCCTGAATCCTTCCCTTCCAGCTCCTTTTTGTCTCTCTTCCATCTCCCTTCCCACTCCCTTTCCATCTCCCTCCCATCCCCTTTCCATCCCCCTTCCATCTCCCTTCCCGTTCCTTTCCAGTTCCCTTCCTGCTCCCTCCCATCTCCCTCCCATCTCCCTCCCATCTCCCTCCCATCTCCCTCCCATCTCCCTCCCATCTCCTTTCCATCTCCCTCCCATCTCCTTTCCATCTCCCTTCCAGGCCCCTTCCATCTCCCTTCCAGCTCCTTTTCCGCTCCCTTCCAGCTCTTTTCCAGCTCCCACGTGGCACTGGAGCTGCTCATTCCTCCTTGTCCCCTCTCAGGAGCTGTCCTACACTAAGGATGTGATCGAGGCYGGCCTGGCTGAGGACACTCACCTCTACTACATGGCCCTGATAGAGAGGGGAACAGGTAAGGACCTTTCCTCCCCTTGGAAATTCCCAATCCCCACCCCAGACATTCCTAGGGCAGTTTCTGGGGGTTTTCACCCGCCTGGGGGCCCTGTGAGTGACATTTTTTTCCTGCTCAGCCAAGCTGCAGGCGGCYGTGGTCCTGAACCCTGGTTATTCCACACTGCCTCCCGTCTTCAGCCTGTGCCTCAACTGGAAGGGGGAGAGGAACAGCAGCAACGAYGACAACATTCGGGTACCGTGGGGTGGGGACACACCTGGAGCACCCCTGGCTTTTTTTGGGGTTCTGTGTCCATCACAAGGGGATGTTGGAGTGAGCTGRTAGGGGATTCAGAGTAGAGATCTGAGCCTGTGCCAACCTTATCCCTGTTTTCCAGGCCATGGAGAGCGAGGTCAACGTGTACTACAAGGAGCTGTGGGGGCCCAAGCCGGGCTACCAGCTGCTGACCAACCAGCTGCAGAGGCTGTGCATGGTGCTGGACGTGTACCTGGAGACTGAGCCCCACGATCCCAGCGTCGAGGGGCCCAAGGAGTTCCCCCAGGAGAAGATGTGCCTGCGCCTGGTCAGGTGGGAGCTGCCTGGGGTCAGGGTGCTGGTGGGACCCCTGGAAGCCTGTCCCGTATCTGGGGGTTATCCCAGGGACTGGGCCTTTCCTATGGGTGCCATGGAGTGTTCCTGATCCCTGTGGGTCACAGCTTCCCCCTCCTGTCCTCTTCCAGGGGCCCCCTGCGCCTGAAGCCCTTCAAGTTCAACTACCCCCAGGGGTTCTTCAGCCATCGCTGAGCACCCCTGGGCGTCACTCTGGCGTGGAGGAGTGTCCCCATCCCGACATTTCAGCTCTTTTTCCAAGATTTTGGGGTTTGTTTGAAAGTTTTGTAGCCGAAGGGATTAAACGGAACTGGAGAAAAAACGCGTGGGTGCCTTGTCTGTGCGGAGAGCTGGGATTGGGAACCTGCAGGGGCTGCAGCAAGCCCAGTAACCCATCCCTGAGCTCTGACAGCCTTTCCTGGGATGCTGCCTGCCTCCTGCCTTYCCTCCCCACCGCAGGGACCGGGGAGCTGAGGTGGCTAAAAACTGAGGTGGCTAAAAATAGCCCTTTTGCGGAGCCCGCACTGCAGCCCCAGCCTGTCCTTGCCGCCTGGCTGCCGTCCCACTCGGCACAATCCCCGCAGCCTGGGGGGCTCCTCTGCTCCCTGGGCTCCGAGGAGCAGGGCAGGGTCCTGGGAGAGGCAGGATCAGGGTTAGGACATCTCAGCATCCTGGCTCATTCTCATCAGCGAGCTGGGAAGTGCCCCCTCCCCGGTGCCTCTCCATGTCAGGGTCCCAGAGTGGCAGAGCTGGGGTTCCATCCCCACTGCCAAGGTCACTGTCCCTCATCCCAGCCTCTCCATGTGTCCCCTGGGTGGTTCCTCCCYCAGGAGGGCTGGCAGCCCCTCTCCTGCCCCTCACAGCCCCTGCCCTCGGTGTGGTGCTGCAGTGCCGCAGCCCTTGGGTTAAACCAGGCTCTCCCGGTCCCTTGGGAGCCAGGCTTTAAAAAAAGAAGGAAGAGAAAAAAGGCRCTGAAATCCTTTGGAAAGCGTGGGGAGGATGGCCCTGTTTCCATCCTCAGGACACGGGGTCCTTCATGCCTGCCCTGGGGTGTGTGTTCCCTCTGCAAAGCCCCGTGTCACCCGCCCCAGCCCTGGGGACAGCTCCCATCCCCTCATTGCCACCTCCCTTCCCTCCAGGATGAGCCAGCAGAGCCCGRGTGTCTCTGTAAGCACTTTTATTTGGTTATTGCACAGAAAGCACAGATCAGTGGGCTGAGGTTCTGGTGCACTGTGTGTGTCTGTGAGCGTTCCAGCAGCTCCCAGCCTGTCCCAGCACYGCCCTCAGGGACTGTCACCCCCCAGGGCAGGGCAGGACCCCGCCAGCCCCCCCACAAGCAGCTACAGCTCTGCATTGCACTCATCCATCCATTGCACATACATTAAATAAATGCACTTAGAGGAGAAGGGCAGGGGGTTCCCCCAGGGGGTTCCCCCTTTCTCCTGGGTTATAATTCAAGTGTTTAAATGTGGCGCTCGGCRAATATCACGTTCTGCGAGGGAAGCAATCGCCCACCCGAGGGGCTCTCACGGGCCTATTGCTAAGGGAAAGCCTGGCCTGGGTGGCTCTGGGGGTCCCTGGGGTGCCACCCTGGGCCCGGCCGTCGGAGGGAGTGGAGTGGCTCCCACACCCGGAGGTGCCTTCGGCGCCCGGGGCTCTCCCGTCACTTCTTCCCCGGCGCCGGCTCCGGGGCTGTGCCCTCCTTGCCAGAGGGAGCCTCGACTTTGGGGGGATCCTTACTGGCTTTGGGCTCATCTTTGGGTTTCGCTTTAGCTTTGGGTTCCTCCTCCTTCTTGGGTTCCTCTGCTTTCTCCTTCTTGGGTTCCTCCTCCTTCTTAGGCTCCTCTGCCTTCTCTTTCTTGGGCTCTTCTGCCTTCTCCTTCTTGGGCTCCTCTGCTTTTTCTTTCTTGGGCTCCTCTGCCTTCTTGGGCTCCTCCACCTTCTCCTTTTTGGGCTCTTCTACCTTCTCCTTCTTAGGCTCCTCCACCTTCTCCTTCTTAGGTTCTTCTGTTTTCTTCTYGGGCTCCTCCACCTTCTCCTCAGCCTTTGGTTTCTCCTCCTCCTTGCTGGCCGCTTTGCTGACCTCCTGCTGAGGTTTAGCTGGAGCCTC